CAATGAAACATAATTCACAGCATACAGAGTGGGAATCCTACATTATCTCCCCGTTTCTGTCTAAATAAAAGGGAAGATTTTTAACTTTAACGTAGTAAAATTACATACACCAAACAGTTATCAAGCAAGAATTATAGTTACAATATTTAGTCCTTTTACAAAGGGCAAAACGAGTAGGGAGAAGTTTATTAGTTAATAAAGGAGTCATCAAAGTGATTCCCTTGGTTGAAAGTAAGATATAAAAACACGTATGTGTATAAATGCATGCACACAGGAGAAGAACGCTGGGCATCATGGGTATGAGACCATCATCTTCGGGATCACTGAGCACAAATGACTGACCCATTCATTCTCCAGTGACAGTCCTTCTGTGCAGTTTGGTTCAGCTCAGCTGTAGCTAGATGAAGTGATGCTGCAGGCTGACCCCAGACAGGTCGGGCAGACCCTTTGCTGGCACGCCTTTGGAATGATTCTTAGCCAGAGCGCGCTGCCTCCTGTTCTCGGTCTTCTTCCAAACCTATTGCTTTCTCCTCGAAATGTTCTTATGGATACCTGCTTCAGTCACAGCCACCTGGGTACGTGCGTGACCCTTGCCGTGAGCAAGCCCACCGACTTAGATGCCTTGTGGCAGCCGGAGAGGAACAGTGTCAAAAACGCTCTCATTTGCCCCTGCTCCACGGGCTGTGGCTGGCCTGGCCCTCTACCTTTGCACAAATTAGGAAATGGTCTTTCAGTTCACAGAGGCGGCCCTGAGCCAGGGCTTCATTCCCACTGGCTCCTTGCTGGATACCTTTATCTATAAATGGTGGCTTTGTCCCCTCCCCACAGGGGTTTTCTGGAGTGGCCTCCAGGGACCCCTCAAATTCTCAGCTGGCGAACCTCTCTAATATCGACTGGAAGATGGCCCAGCGGCCAGTGCTGTGCATCCTCAAGGGTCCTGTTTACCACGCGGCTGCCAACCTTACCGTGTCCCAGAGAGGACGTGTGATGTCAGGGGCCAGAGGAAGGCTGTCCTGTCTCCGAATTAAAAGGTTGCTTTCTAGGTCCAAATCCAATAGCACAGTAATGTGAGTCACTTTGCCAGTTCCCTTGGGGAACAGATGTGGAGGCTCATCATCAGGAGTGGCTGTAAATACTGACAACACGCTGTCTTGTCTGGAGGGCTCTGAGCACTAGCCAGACTCTGTGTGTGTGTGTGTGTGTGTGTGTGTGTGTGTGTGTGTGTGTGTGTGTGTGTGTATGCGCCTGCATGCAGGCGGCACTGAAGAGGAAGGTGATGGATATCAGTTTTGGGACTGGAAGATTTTCCATGGTGGCTCTGTTGACTTATGAGGACACAGAACAGCCTGCCCCTCCAACCTCCCAGTTCTGCTCCTCCCTAGGACAGCCTCCCCACCCCTATTGCCAACCCCTCAGTTTTGCTACTCTCTAGGAAGCCTCCCCCACCCCTATCCCCAGCCCCCCAGTTCTGCTCCTCCCTAGGAAGCCTCCCCTACCCCGATCCCCAGCCCCCCAGTTCTCCTCCTCCCTAGGACAGCCTCCCCATCCCTATCCCCAGCCCCCCAGTTCTGCTCCTTCCTGCTGATGCATGGCAGTAGGAACAAGGCTGGCTTTTCAAATACATACAGCGATGAATCTCACCACAGGCCACAGCCCTATCTGGAAGTGTCAGCTCTCACGCCTGGAGTGTGAGCCAAGCGCCCCCAAGCACCCCACCCCCTCACAGCTTCTCTGTGCCTCCCCAGCCTCCCTCCTGCTCTGCACCAGCAGTTTGGCAGGACCCCCTGGAGGTAATTAATTAATAAATCAGTGTTTGCCTTCTTCCTGGAGAAGTGCTCTCTTTCCCTCTGTAAGTGATAGGTGTTTCAGTGGAGCCTGGCGAGGTGTCTAGGGCTGGAGGAATCACTTTTATTCATCCATGCCGAGGAGATTGTAATGTTGTCTCCATGAGATGAGCTGATGGGGCTTGACTGCCTCATGGTGGCCTCTGCCAGTCCCAGCGCCCTAGCGTCAGGAAAACGTTGCTTCCGGGGCATCTGAGTGTCTTTTGCTGAAAAGGAGGTTCTGGGGTTCACACCCAGCTTCATGAGGCCTTAGCAGCAAATGCCTTGGCCCATTGGTTCAGACAGAATGTTCGTGGGACTGCGACTGGGTACCCACTCCCCTGCAGCTCTTCCTTCTGGCTCCCATGTTGAATAAAGCCTTCTCCATCCACATGCTGTGACCTCTGACTCCCTGGCCACTCTTTTATCAGAAACATCACCATTGCCTCCGACCTACACACAGTCTGTTACAGGGGTAGCTGGTGCTGGGCTCTCAGGCTGACAGCCTGGCTCTTGGGATGGCAACAATTTAATTGACGATGGCGTTTTCCACCCCAAGTGGAATGTAGCATCAGAACCCTTCAGAACACAGCCCCCAGGCTGTGACTTCCCGACATTCAAGTTGGTGTTTGAGGCCCAGGTAAACCTCTTTACCAACTCCGATCTGGACCTCTCCCCCATTATTTGACATAAACCTGAGGGGAGAGATGATTTGCCCAATGTCACATGACTCTTGTAGATTAGAGCTGAGGAAAAGCTGGCAGCTACTTAGTAAGGTGGCCTTTTCAGAAGGAGCTTGGGTTCCCTGGCTGGATGAGCTTGAGAAATTCCACTCAAAACAGCTGCTTCCTTTAAAGGCTCTAAGGAGAGTGGGCAGGAGCACCTGCTTAACTCCTTACACTCTGGGTGCTTGTGGGTTTGGTCCTGGGGCCCTTTGGAAGCGTAGAAACTGCTGCTTTGGGACAACTCACTATTATTCTTTTAAAACGGGTGTGTGTGTAGACAAACACAGGACAGACAAACACGTGAAAGGAGGAGACACAGACACACGGCTCCCACGTGGGTGCACTTTAATGGGGGGAGGGGGACACGATAAGGGACAGGTGTGCAAGACACACAAGGGTAAAGGGCAAGAGAGAGAGCGAGACCTCGTGGAAGCTCGCTTTTTAATGAGAAGCGCAAGGGTATCTGGGAGAAATGTCCTGCACCTGTGTGCACCTGCACGCGCAGGTATCCGTAATCCAGGAGGAATCTGGGAGCTGTAGTTTTCAAAAGGAACAACACTCACTACCGGGAGGCATGGAATCCTCTGGCCAACCAAGAGGACAGGTACAAGGTAATATGCATTCCCAGAGTCACAGGCTTGGGAAATGCATGGTGTCGGCACTAAATAAACTTGCCGTCAGCCAGGATCTGGGGTGCAATGGATCTTTATGGCTTCTTTTGCCTCTGGCAGGTTAGGCTTACTAAGGCCTAGTCAAGAAAAAGAGGTGCTTTGGAGAGGTGCTTTTAGGACAAGTCAAAGAAAGTTGCACATCCAGGAAGGCAGAGGTTAAAAGGCCCAAGCTCCCGGCTCTGGCACAATTCATTGGATTTCCTCTGGAGTTTACTGACTTCCAGTTTATGGACAGCTCCACCAGATCCGGAGTAGCCTCCAAGTCCACAGCAAACGGAACAACCCTTTTGAAGGGGAGTCACGGCCTTAGGGACCCCAGGAACTGACAACAGAGGACTCATGCCTACTTCCCCGTCTCATAGCTCAACGCTATGTCATGAGGGCTCCACAGTAATAAGCCCACTGTGTTTATTCCCTGCCCACGGAGCCAAGAACGAGCAAGGGTGAACATGTAGGAAGAATTTCTACACTAGACACGTGTTTCTGCCGTGGGAGAAATTCGCTTGTGTGACTCTTCCCTAGCAGTGTTGTGTGACTCTTCCCTAGCAGTGTTGTGTGACTCTTCCCTAGCAGTGCTGTGTGACTCTTCCCTAGCAGTGTTGTGTTGTGTGACTCTTCCCTAGCAGTGCTGTGTGACTCTTCCCTAGCAGTGCTGTGTGACTCTTCCCTAGCAGTGCTGTGTGACTCTTCCCTAGCAGTGCTGTGTGCCTCTTCCCTAGCAGTGCTGTGTGACTCTTCCCTAGCAGTGTTGTGTGACTCTTCCCCAGCAGTGTTGACAAACCTGCTGTCACTCCCTATAAATTCTCAAAGCTTTTGATAAATTCCTATGTGACAGACACACGGTATGTTATAGCACACAATACATGTCTGTTATTGAATTCAACTCTTGTCTTTGGTAGGCAAAGAAGCATTGAGTAGGGCTCTGGAGGAGTCACCCTGCTGAAGGCTCACAGGGAGTTTCCCACTCATGGTCCAGAGTGTGCTGTTGTCAGGGGTGACTGTGGTGGGGGTCTATTACACCTGCTCCTGTTCACCCCCGCAAACATGGCCTCCCTGGCTGTGGCAACGTTGGCCTGCCCAGGTTCTGTCCCTTGGTGAGAGAACCAGAGAGGTCAGAGAGCTGCACAGGCCTGGAGTCACTTAGTGGCAGGACGAGTGCTTTAGCGTGTGGGATGCACAAATTCTCCTGGGTTCCCACATGTGCAGAGTCTACGCTTAAAAGCTGCACTAGGGAGGCTGGTGTGGTGGTTCATGTCTGTAATTCCAGCACTTGTGGCAGGTGGATGGCTGTGAGTTTGATGCCAGCTTGGGTTAAATAAAAACTAGAAATAAATGAAATAAAAGCACCCCTCAGAAAGGTCTTTGTGTTATGAATGCTAAGCTGCAAGACAGCCTGGCCACCTGCATTCTCCTGAGCATTTCCTGTTATGTGTGTGAACACTACCAAGCCTTTAGGTCTCAGGTGAGAAGGGCAGTTGGCCAGACCCCACCCGACCCGCCAGGGACTCTCTCTAAGAGTGGGACTGCCCAAATAAAAGGCCACATTGGAAGTCCATGCCACATCCTCTTTTCCTCGGGGACGTAGAAATGCAACTGGAGAGGCCGGCTCCCTTCTCTTTCTTCCAAAGCTTCACTTCTTCACAGTTCGGGCCATGGCGCCTTCTTTCCATCTAGCAAGACTCCAGTTTGTCCTCATACCGTGTGACCCCTTGTCACCCACTCCAGATGTCTTTCAACCTGGATGAATTCTCCAGGTGTTTCACTCATCTACCTGGGAAGACATGTCCCAGTGTTCCGGAGCACTGGCTGCTCTGCAGGGGTCACTGGGAACATGGCCCAGTGACCCCTGCAGAGAAGACACAGTGGCTGTGTGGGAGAGACTGGCAGTTAGGAGCACTCCTATGGCCCAGCCAGACTGGATCTGCGAAGCCGAAGGTAAGCCTGTCCGTTGCCCAGTAGCTGTGTGGTGTTGAGTTTCTGTCCTGCCCCGTCCCACAGCCATTCATCCCAAAGAAACACACAGAGGCTTACATTAATTATAAACTGGTTAGCCTATTAGCTCAGGCTTCTTATTAACCCTTATAACTTACATTAGACCATAGCTCTTGTCTGTGATAGCCATGTGGCTTGGTACCTTTCATCAGCGAGGCATTCTCATCTTGCTTCCTCTGTGTCTGGGTGATGGCTGCAAACTGAATCTTTCCTCTTCCCAGAATTCTCTTGTTCTTATTGCCCCACCTCTACTTCCTGCCTGGCTACTGGCCAATCAGCATTTTATTAAACAAGTACAAGAAACAAATCTTTACAGGGTAAAACCATTGTCCTACAGCAGTGTGGCTCTGTAACCCTTCTGGATACTGTCTTAGTTTCTTGTCCCATCGCTGTGATAAAATACTCTGACAAGGCCTCTCGAGGGAGAGAGTGTCTCTTTTAGCTCACAGCTCCAGGAACCATCCGTCATGGCAGACGGTCAAGACGGCAGGAGGTTGAAGCAGCTGTAGCAAGCAGAAAAGAGACTGAATACCTACTGCTCTGAGCTCCCTTTGGCCATTTTATGTATCCCAGATCTCCTGCCCAGAAAATGGTCCTTCCCACAATTAAGGTGGGTCTTAATTGGTTTAACCAAGCTTAATCTTCACGGGTATGCCCAGAGGCCCATCTCCCACATGGCTTTAGATCCTGTCAAGTTGACCATTAATATTAACCCTCTTGGATGCCCAGTGAGATAAGATTCCCACCGCCTGGCTGGAATATAGGGGGCTCCAATGGAAGGTTCCACTGGGTTGTCTTCAGCACACAGGAAGCAGATAGAGTCTGAATCAGATGAGCCATCCTCCCCACTAACCTCCTGCTGCCCCAGAGAGTGCACGTCTTGTTGGAGACCAGGCTGTCATTGATCTCCTGCCTCCAGAATATTCTTTTCACTTAACTACACGTGACTGAGATGGTGAGACAAACGGCACCCATCCCTTACAGAGGAGAGACTTTAAACAGGGTGAAAAGGGGTCCTGAAGTGACAGGACCTTCCCTGACGTTATTGTGGCAACATATTTCTGGGGCAATGGCAAGCACAGCCCTCATCTGGGAAGCTGTAGCCTTGGCCAGTCATGTCTCCTGTCTCCTGAAGCATTGTTCTCCGTCTAGCCTGCCAGCTGTTCTGGAAAGTCAGCTGTGATGGGTTCAATCCTGCCGTGCCTCTCCCCCTCCCTCCCAAATAGTCTGCTGCCTGATGCCCACGTGGTCCTTGGAGATATTTCCTGCTGTGAATTAGGACTCTCCATCCCCTCCTCGCTATGGCCAGGCCTGGCACTCAGTCTCACTTCACTCTCGTGACTGTGGTCGCAGAGAGCCCTCTACCCAGATTCATCAACCGGTTTGAGGCATGCTTGTGTCAGTCTAGAGATCCCCTCTCTACACCATCCCCAATCCCAACAGTTATGAGATCCAGATCCCCTCCATGTCCATCGTTGTGCAAGAGCAGCTGTGGATCTCAGAAATGTCCCCACACTGTTTCTGCCACAGCCAAGGGCTTTCTGAATCAAGTCACGGGATAGTTCTTTTAAAACAGACGCCCTGTGGGAGTGTCAGGGGAACCCTATGAACCTGGAGCACTCGGCAAGCCAGGGCGTTGGATGCACGGGCTTTGCTCCAGGCTTGCAAAGCCTCACTCACGGTTGTCAGAAACTCAGGGTGACGCCTCCCTGACAGAGCGCAAGCTTCCCACCTGAATTTGGCCCAGACAAGCTGCACTCTCTCCAATTTTTCAGGCTCTGGGTTGGGTGAATTCAAAACAGAAGGCATGTGGCTCTTTGTCTAGCATATTTGCTGTCAGTGTTCCTTGAGCCCCTGAAGGATGCAGGGGTTGCCATGCCCCACATTCCCAGGGAGTTACACAGCCATCGGCATTATCTTTTGCTGTGCTCCAAGAACCGGATTTCTTACTTTCAGTACCCTGGACACTGGCTGAGCCTACTGAAGATCTGCAGTCATCATGGTAGTTTTTTTTTTTTTTTTTTTTTTTTTCCCCAGCAGCATCTCTGGAACAAACTTATGTAAAATTGGACTCTCCAGCAAAAATTTTGTTATCCATTCATGATCTGAATTCTGGCATACAAATTAAATTGTGGTACACATTACACAACACCAGGCATTTGTTTTTTTTTTTTTTTTATGATGAATCAGATGGCAGCTGTTACTTACTGGTAGACTTTTAACTAGGCCCTGCCCTTTTCCCCTCTAGTCCCAGGAGAGAGAGTTTTTGTTCCAGGATGTACTTTTAGGGATTCTCTAACTATTTCATCGGTGTACCCTCTCTGTGGGTGATGCCTTTGTTCTTTGTGGCATCTGCATGAGAGAATCCGGAGGCCTGGCCCGTCTTCCATCCTGATTGGCCACTGGGACTTGACCCCGCCTCCCTTGTCCACAGAGTGGCACTGGGCACACAGCTGGACGATAACCATGACTTGCTCAATATCACCTCTGGCCCACACCATGAACATTTTGATGCTGTAGGAAATCCTACAGCCAGTAGCCTTTAAGTTACCCGCCCACTGGGGGCGTGGCCTCTTGTACTATTTATGCCGACGTAAAGTGTGCATCCAGCCTCTTTTCTGGCTGCGGGATTCGGTTGCTGTTCTCCGTTCCAGCAGACTATATTTGATTTGTGAGTCTCCCCCTAAATAAATAACCATCTATTATTCTCAATTCTGAGCTAGTGTGGGATTTCTTTTAAGCGTCCATCTTCATTATGACACAAAGCCAGACCTCCTGCTCCCTTCCAAAGTTTGTTTTCTTGACTTTTGACCAGGATTCCTAACTCTTTCCACACACAAGACCTCCCTGGAGTGGAGGATCTCAGCCGTGTGCACCTAGTGACCCACCTAGGTTTGCATTGGGGAGATGCAGCTTATCTAGTGTCCAGAGCGGGTGCTCCACGTTCTGAATTATCTTCCTCGGTGATGGGAGGAAGCGGAGGGAGAGGCCGTTCTTCTGCAGTAGGTTGTCTCTTTGGGTGCAGGTTGGTTACTATCGTCATGGTAACGCTATACAATCACCCACAGTTAAGAACACATCCACTATCATCGCTCATCCTTCCATACGTGTGTAGACTCAGTGGGGGCTCATCCAGGCAGGTGTGGCTTGACTCTCTGGTGTCTGTGGACCTGGGTGGGATGGCCTGGCCAGCCTGGCTTTGTTCCCTGCGGCTTCCTTGGTGTGGTGGGTGATCTCAGCTTTGCTCGGATGGCAGGAGCAGGAGTCAGAGAGAGGATGGTGTAAGATGCTCAGAAGCCTAGGCTCAGAAGTGGAATAGTTTCTTCCCTTCTCTACTGGCCAGTAACTTACCAAGCTAGCCAAGTTGCTTGGCAGGTAATAGACCTCCTCTCCTGACCAGAGACGATGAAGAGTCACCCTACAGTGGAGGTGTGGGATGGGGTGTCCTGGATGCTATGCTGTCCTGGCATACTGCTTGCATAGTGCTCACATATCCTGACTTAGCTATGGGAAACCCAGGGTCCACCAGAGAAGACGGGGAAATATCAGCGGGCACAGGCATCTGTACAGAGATTCTTGCCACCCAGACACAAAACAGATGCCTGCCACTGCTCAGGATGTAAGCTCTGTGATGGTATGGTCATTATCCCCTAGCACATGAGCACTGAGATCTAACATGTGCCTGGCTCACGGTAGACTCTGTTAATAATGACTAAGGATAAACTTAATCCAGTTCGTTCATACAAGCTCCCTTCAATGTAATTTGATGGCAGTGGCCCTTGTTAGTACCTGCTGCCTATTGGATTCAGCTCAGTCTTCAGTCTGGCTGACAAGACCATGTCCACATATAATCACGTTAGTTATGGGACTGTAGGAAAGCGATCCGAGCAACTTTGGTAATGCCGACCTAGCGTACTCCACTCGGCCAAGACAGCTTGAGCCATCAAGAGGAAGGTGTGGCAGGGGCCAAGTCTCTGGAAACTCTTTACAAAGTCTTGGCATGATGTGACTTGGGTGGATTTTCAGATGGCTTAGTTCAGCCAAATGCAGCGGGCGTCTGAAACAGCCTGCTGGCTCTCCTTCCCTTTGAAAGCCTGAGAGCTCTGGAGGGGAAATCTGAGACAGGCTTGAGAGTCATCACAATGCTGGCTGTGTGAAGCAGCAAGGGCAGCACCGCCTTTAAGGCTGGATTCTTAGAAGCAGGATGCCGTCTGTGCCAGGAGTCGGGGAGCTTCGCCTCCCCTGGGCCAGACTAAGGCTCGGTGCTGGCCAGAAGGGCCTGTGACAGAGATGCCACTGCTTCCTAAGCCCAGCTTGGAAGATGAGGGGGCAGACCTTAACTAGGCGGCATTCCCAACTCTATAGCCCCTCCTGGGCTCAGAAGCGGGGACTGCCATCAGGAGCGGAAGAAACCAGGTCAGTTTGGGGTCGTGCTGCAGCCCCGTAATGGACATGATTATCCATGGACAGGTATTATCAACTAAACTGGGAACTGAGCACTGACTGTCCTTGGCTCCCCTTGGGACAGCTAGAGCTGAATTCAGTAGACAGCGGATCTGGAACAAAGACCACTGAAGTCAAGTTTTGTTGAAGTGAGTTGTCAAGAGCCTGTCAGACCAAGGTGTGCAGTTTCTTATGGGTGACAGGAGCCAAGCCAGAGGATTGTGTAATGATAGTGCAATCAGAGGGAATGTGTGTATATGCATGTTCATAGTATGTGGAGAACATTCTCATGCATGTGTGGTGGGATGAAAAGGTGTGTTTGTGGGAAGGTGTGTGTGCATGTGTGTGGGAGGTGGGAGGCTGTGTGTGTGTGGTCGGTCATGGTGAGATGGGAAGGGGTGTGTATGCATGTGTGAGGAGGTGGGAGGAAAGTGTATGTGTGCGTGTGTGCACGTGTGTGGTCATGGTGAGATGTTAAAGGGAGTGTGTGTGTGTGTGTTGGTCTTGGTGAGGTGGGAAGAGGTATGTGTACATATGTGTAGTCATGGTGAGGTGGGAAGGTGTGTGTGTGCTCGTGTGTGTGTGTCATGGTGAGATGTTAAAGGGAGTGTGTGTGTGTGTGTGTGTTGGTCTTGGTGAGGTGGGAAGGTGTGTGTGTGCTCGTGTGTGTGTGTGTGTGTGTGTGTGCATGTATGTGGTCATGGTGATATAGGAAGAGGTGTGTGCGCATATGTGTGGTCATGGTGAGGTGGAAAGGTGTGTGTGTGCTCGTGTGTGCGTGTCTGTGCACGTGTGTGGTCATGGTGAGGTGGCAAGAAAAGGAATCATGCAGGATGGTAAGGAGAATAAAGGCCAGAAGACCAGATATGAGTGTTGAGTGTCTGCCAGGTTCCCTGCGCCTCTCCAAAGCTATGGAAGGACCGGAAGAAGAATCTTAGATCCAGCCCTAGGTGCTTCGTGGTGGAGACATGAGCCTGGCACGGGCGAGACAATGGCCAAGGGCTCTGGATGCTGTGTTCTTTGAAGCATGCAGTGGTGTAGCCAGGGCTTACTAGGCCATAAAGCATCGGAAGAGGAGAGGGGAGGGAGGGACAGGGTTGGGTTCTGCTCGGCTGGCACTTCAGGGTTGGTAGGATTTGGTGAAGGATGGCTGCCACCAGTCACCTGCTGTTGAACCAAAAGCCTGCTGCTCGTAAAATTCCTGGGAATTTTATGGAGACCACTGGCCTGTGGCTTCTGTCCTTCTCTAATCTACATCTCAAAGGAGACATGCAACTGATGACCTCTAGGAGACGCAAATCCAACCCCAGTCTAGAACTCACAGATAGGCCAGTGACTAGAAATTTTACTAGGCCAGAAAGCCCCCAAGAGCATCTGGGAGAGAGCAGACCTGGGTGTGGTCCTAGAAATCCCGATGATAAGAATCTACATGGAACAATGACGGTGTGCAGTTAACAACGTCTTGGTGGGTCCTGAGGAACTGCATCAAGCCTTATGATTGACAAAATACCTCCAACTGTAGGGTGTTCCTTGAACTCACTTCCCTATGGGATGCCCAGCTGTGCCCACTATTTAGATGATTGCAGGCCAGCATCTAGGAGAAGAGCCAACTCAGGGTCAAACAATAGGGGTGGAACTGGGATGACAACAGACTCTTGGTGTCAGGGCAGTGCTCAGAAGTGGCTGAGAAGAATGGGCTAGCCTGGTCATAGGCGGGGACCCCTATGATACAAAGACTCCCTACTCCCTTCCTCCATCAAATTCCTCCCGACAGACTAACAGAACTTCTTGGGAATGTGTGCTCTTTAGCTGGCTTTGAGAAGAGGGGAAAGGAAAGACGATGAAGCAATGGTTCGAGTTGTCTTGACAACTCTGGAGGCATGAATTGGCCTGTGCTCTTGGGAGTACAGATAGAACTCTGGGAATCATGCAGCCACAATGGAAGATTTATCTACTATCTATCTATCTATCTATCTATCTATCTATCTATCTATCTATCTATCTATCTACCTACTATCTATCTATCATCTGTTTCTATGTATGTATGTATGTATGTATGTATGTATCTACTATCTATCATCTATTTCTATGTATGTATGTATGTATGTATGTATGTATGTATCTATCTATCTATCTATCTATCTATCTATCTATCTATCTATCTATCTATCTCTATCTACCTATCTATCCCCCCCTCTCTATCTCTATCTATCTGTAAGGAAACCAAGAAGCAGACAGACTTGCCCTAAAGCCACTCCCTTCACTGTAGGTTGGACTCTCAGCTCACAGTTAGTATTCGTACTTTGTGACCTCTGGTTAAAACACTTTGGTTGTCTATGTTCTTCCCTGGCTAAGCCTGCTCTTGCTTTCTGGTTGTCTGTCTAGCTTTTTCCTCTCACTGCTGGTGGTGTTTGCAGGGCACTTTAACACACACTCTCACCTGTGGCCACGCAACCTGGGAGGGGTTCTTTCTGTAACGTCAACTTTCTGCAGCCCTATCACTGTTCCCCACAGTCAAATACTGACGTGTCACCATTTGATTGTCCTCATGGTCTCTCATTTGAATGAACTCCTGGCCAGGGCTGAGCATCCAGCTGAAATTTGGGGGGAGACCACCCCTGTAGGAAACAAGGAGCATTTCTACCCTAGGCTGAGTTCTCAGGGCCACAGACACAGGCTTGCAGCCTCGCGATACTGCGTGCTTGGCCCCCCAGGAACCGCTTGGTCCTATTTAGAGGTAAGGACAAGGGCAAGGCTGCGTCCCATAAGCCCTGTCTGCAAACAAAGACATGGGAGCTGCGTGTCCATGACCCAGGGAGCTGACTCCTGCCCCACCACCCTCGACCCCTGTGCCAAGTCTCCCCAACAGTAGTCACAATTGTGTTGGCTCTGCTGAGCCAGGTCCCATGGCTCCTGCTGAGCATGGACCCCAGACTTATCCTTGCTGGGACTGCTTTCAGGCTGGCCTCCCAAGCCTCTGGGCACCTCACAGGTGTGACCTTTGCTGTGCCTGTGAGAACATATCATGTCAGTTTGGTCACACTTCCAGGCCATTTAAATCTTAGGGAATACAGCTTGTCACCTAGCAAAGTGTCCTACTCTGCCAGGATTGAATGTCGACAAACTGGGCTTGTTCTGTTTGAAGGTCTTCAGTCAATAACTGGCGGAGGAGACATGATCCAGCACACCTGCCCAGGGGTACTTCTCCCCCTTTCTTCTTCCCTTCAGCCCTCTTTGTGAACCGCAGCCCACAAGGTGGGGCAGCTGACCGGAGTGAGGTAGCGGTTACCCAGACAACATTGCTCATCTCTACCCATGAACATTTCAGGGCAGCCGGCTTCAATTTTCTGACCCATTCATTTCAATGACTATATTGAAAGCTTCCTTACGCAATGTGGCAGCTGTCTGGTGAGAGTGAGATTCATTACAATTTAGTGTCCTTCATCTACAAACCTGGCTGACCCCATCACAAAGGTACATAGTTTAGGGAGCTGCGCTGGCCCCTGGTGAGCCTCGGTTCCTTCCTGGGCCTCATCTTTCTAAGCAATCACAAACCATTTCAAATTCCATCATTTGTCAAGGTGCTTTATATTCCCATAGCAAGTTCTGGACCTCATCATTTTTCCTTGTAAGAAATTTTAAATACAGTTTATAGCCTGCAGCCCCTGCAGGATTCTTGAGTTCTCAGTATGGCTTGGTTGGTCCAGGCACATCTGCAAGCTCTTTCCTGGTGCCACACTATAGTTGCCTGTGCTGGAAGGTTTGGGTGCAGCCTGGCGCTGAATGGCTCTATTACTTCTTCACACAATAAATGAATTCTTGCTCTGGAGTTGTGGGGAGGGCAGGTCAAGGATGGAGGAAGGGTGACGAAAGCGTGGACCATGTGAGACACCAGATAGCATTAGGATACATTGCATCACCTCTCTCTCAGAACACAGCAGCCCTGACAGTCAGTCCCATTGCAGAGCTGGGGAAAGTGAGGCTGAAGAAGTTCAGAGAAGTTAGGCGAGATGCTCCAGGTCACACAGCTACACTACTTGTGGCAGATATGGAACTCTCATTCACCTCTGTTGGACCCCAAGGTTTCTTACCTTGCCATGGTATGCACAGTATAGAGCTTAACTTCAAGCAAGTGCCGGATGGCTACCCTGTCCACTTTTTAGATTAAGTTCATCAAGTGGTTTCCTCTAGATAGGACTTTGTTTCCAAATAATAGCGTATTTGTTCTGGACACATTTGTTGTGTGTTCTCTGGGACACAGAGAGCTCAGGCGTTTTGTGGCCCATACCAGCCTTTTAAGCTCAAGTGCTGGGAAGTCACTCTTTAATTCTAAGGATTCTCCAGAAGTTATACGGTCAGGGTGGGCCTGGGGTCAGAGAGGTCATCTGTGCAGCTGCTGGAAGCCGGGGAGGGCTGGTAGTTGGAAGCAGACTGGCTGAGCATGCCAGAGTGGCAGTGGGGCCACTGCGGAAGGATACACAGCTGAGGCAGGGGGATGAGGCGGTTGTCGGGGATGGTTACAGGAAGTGGAAGAAACCATAAAAGCCAGGGAAGAGCTGGCCAGAAAGAGAGAGGGCAAGACAGCAAAACCAAAATGCTCAGAAGGATCCAGGGTCCTGCATCCCAAGAGAGAGAACCGGGAGCTGGAGGGAAAGAAATTTGCTTTGACAAGTCAAGGGTCAGAGCAGAGCTTCTTACAGTCTGGAGGGGGTGACAGTTGGGGGTCATGCTATAAGGGGAGCGCTTCTTGGAGGTGTCGATTTATATACCCTCCAACACAACCTGTCAACACAACTTCTCTGCGGGACCATGTTTGCACATACACACCCACCCACATACCACACGCTTCCTTTTCCCATGTAACATTCCCCTCACACACATGTGGACACACTCCGAATGTATTTGACTTTTATGCCCCTGCACTTACGCCCACACTCCATTGTATACACGCATCCCTAGCCCCACACGCTCTCAATGCATACGCTCAGACACATACATGCCACATGCATGTATGCCTTCTCACTTGGCACATACTTCAGGTCCCAGTCGCCCTTGTTCTGTATATTCATACGCTCTCAGCCTCCTCAGACAGTGGCCGTCTTTGGGGACTGATACCTAAGAGCTGTGCCATGGCAGCAGCCAAGTGGTCCGTAGGAGGGGGGTACACCGGCTCCCCACCTCCGTTGACCTTGTGGATGTTGGCTGGGGACAGGAACCGCAGTGACACATCTGTGGTGCTTGAAGCCCTCTAGTCTACTAATTTTAGACCAGTGGTACCCACCAGGCCAGATGGCTTTGGAACGTGATTAATCTCAGCACTGTAAGAAGCTGAAGGGCTCTTCACTTAGCTCTGTGTGTGCGTGAGGGGATCAAGGCTCAGGGAAGGCTTGCCAGACTGGCACAAGCTGGGCACTGAAGCCCCAGGTATATATGTTTGAGCCAGGCATCCTCAGAGCAACAGGCTGGCAAGTTGCGGTTAGACGCATGCTCTAACATGCGTGAGAGGGCGAGGCACATGACACCCTGCCAGCAATGACCGGGTCCTGACCTGTGGGTCCACATGTGCTCCCCACATTCCCTGAAGAGAGCTGCCTCAGTGTCTGAGGCAGGATGGCTTCTGGAAAGGTAGGTGTTGGGTGGCTCTGAGCTTTGGCCCCTTCCTTCTTGATTCCTGACCTGATGGGAACACACAAGGATGGACTAGCTAAATGCTTAACTGTTTTTCCTGACATTGCCTCGTCATGTTGCCAGAAAGCCAAATTTCCCTTCAAAAATGACTACAGAACTCTTACTTGAGAGTTGCCTAAAACTTCTGTGCCCTTGACTTTTGCCCCTGCCTCTACGTGGTGGGAAATGAGTTTTAAAAGTTGTACCTTACACGGAAAACTGTTTGGCTTTCATTCAACATGAATGGTCGTTCGTGAGACCGATCTGAAGTCCTGGGATTGGTGCCACAGGACCACGCCCGCCTTTTCTAGTGCCACTTCAGTCTTTAACCCACGTGTGGGGGAACCAATTCTGGCCTAGCAGCTCCATTCCCAGCCTGCTTGCTGGTCTTTCCGGGATGCCCTGTCTCCTCCTTTTAGCAGCCCTTATCATCCCTCAAGCATGGCTGCTGATTTGTTCCTGTGTTTTTCCTCTCTGGGATACACTGTTTATTATTATTATTATTGTAGTTACACGGCTCTAACTCTCCCCATTACAGAATCATGGATCAGGAAATGTGACAAATATCCTTTCTAATCCCATCACCCAGGGGGTCCACGTTAGCCGATCCATCTAGATTTTCTCCCCAGGCAGATGAGGGCTGCTTAGTGTGTTTTGTTTCGGTTGTTATTTTATGCTGGAGGCTAGTCCCCTCTAATGCCCAGGGCATTTTCAGACCTGAGGCTCCAGCGGTGGTTTGCATGGGAAGAAATGAGTCATAGCTGGATTTTTAAATTAAGAGCAAGGGAATGCTTGCTGTGAGCTGGCACAAGGCTCTAAACCTTGAGGCATACCAAGTAACTCTTGCATAGAAGGAGTTTGCCGTCTACAAGATCCACTCAGCTAAAAAGCGCAGGTATTACATCGCCACCAATGTCACAAGGCCCCCTGAAGGCCTGCCTGAGTTATTGAGAAGCATGGCGGGGTCGAGGATGGGGGCAGGCATAGCAGCGTCTTCAGGAATCCAGCCTTGGGGCCGAGCTGCGACGTCCAGTCTGGAGGATGAGCAGGAAGTATCTGATTCTGCTCTAAGGGACAATGACTGCCACAAGCGTAGGGGAGTGCATCTTTCTGGAAGCAGGCCCTGCCCGCCATCTCTTGTCCCCATAACCTTCTCTGAGCCAGAGCTGGCCTTGGACTACCCTGGCCTCCAACTGACCTGACAGGTGTCAGGTGCCCGTGTGTGTGTGCTTAGCTTTATGAAGTTGCTGTGTGATTGTTTTCAGGGTGCCAAGTGGAGTTGTCAGTTGGCTGGGGTTGTCCCTTCCCATGGCCACTGCCAGACAGTTCTTTGTGAAGTTCGCACCAAATTGCCACACTACTGGCAAGCTATGGGCGTGGCTGGTTTACTTGTAGGCATCCCTGCGATGTTCTAATTATCTCTAGCCTCAGGTAGCATGGCCCGCGAGCCCTGCTGCTCTCTTGCACCCCAGGCCTCTATCCTTCCCTTTCTGTCCCTTAGCTATGGACAGGATGCCTTATTGCCATGAGGACACATGCTTTTGAGTCAGCTTAGTTTTCACCCATGCAATAGAGAGGACGGCCAGGCTACAATTTGGATTTCCTTGCCAAGTATTTTTTCTAGTGATGGATTTATTTCAACACACCTGTGGTAAGCTACTGTCAGAAGCTAGCAGCAAGGCCAGTAGCTAAGCTAAGGTCCTGCCTCATGGAGGTGATTCTCCTTACGTCTGTTAGTGGTACGTATGTGTCACAACCTATGACCAGGAACTCATCCAAATGAGGGGTGCTGAATCTTAGGGGCATACCTTGATAAACTTCATATTCTAGAGGCATGAGGCTCTCCAGGGAAGTCTCGGCCAGGGACCTTCTGTTGGGGGATGCTCACCTCATGCAAGCAAAAGAGGCAAGGAAAGCGGGTTCTGGTGTACAGACTATGGTGTGTGGCTGGGCCATGTGTGCGGACACTCTACCTCCTTAATCCCTCCATCCAGCGCCTTTGGAAGCTCAGCGAAACACTGGGCACCATGGAGCCTAACACCCTGGAGTAGCATCCATGATCCTAGCTCTCCGGGCTGAAAGCCTCTCCTCGGCAGGGTAATAGGACCTGACTTGCAGCAGGCAGGGAGCAGAGGTATTCCAGGCAGCTGGGGCTATTTTTAAACACCCTCTCCCCAAGAGCGGAGCTCCAGCTCAGCGGGAGAGAGCGGCTCATCCCTCAGCCTTGGGAACCAAAGCACAGCCCCCTCCCACTCCACAGCTCTTTCACCCCGCCCTTCAGTCTCAGATCCCCAGTTGGGGAGCCACTCACGAACCCTGCACGACTACAGGGGCTGGTTTGTGGAAGGGTGGACTCTGGAGGTCTTGGGGGTCGGTGCTGTGGCACACTGTGTTGTGATCGTGTTACCCGGCTGACTGGAGGCAAGCCACGGTCCTGGCGTCTTGGTTGACTGGCAGCCCAGAGGCTCACCCTGAAGCTGGTGAGCAGATGTGTCCCTGCCTGCCTCTTTGTCTACAACTCTTGGTGGCAGCTCACAGCTGTCTGTCAGGCTCAGAAGTCAGAGAGAGCAGCCACCTCTCTGTCTGTCACTCCCGCTGGGAACTGAGCTCTGTCTTGCCTCTGCCCAGGGAGGTGGAGAGGACTCTAAGGGTCAGGGAGCTCTCTGGGGTGACAAGGCTGCAGGTGGCTATTTTCTCACCTGTCCTTCCTTTCTCCCAGCTCCACCTCAGGTGCTGCCTGTGAGATGTTCCCAGGGCCTGAGGGCAGAGATGCGCGCAATTTCAGGTGGTTCTTATGATCTCACCTCTCACCGCTCTTAGATACAGACATGTCACCTCCGAGGGAACCTTCACAGAAGTGGAGCCTGCTGCCCACAGCTGACATCAAGTGACCACCTTTCACGCTCTAGATGGCACACTCAAGGCCATATGATACCACATTCTGTCACCACATGTCAGAGAGGCCCAAAGGGGGAACCTTTGGCCAAGCTCACTGCCACATCCTCTCTTTCCCTGATCAGAACTCCTCCCTCTCCCTGAAGACCTACCAAAACTTATGAGGCCTTTGGATGCAAAGAATGATTCCAAACCCGCAGCCCAACTCTGAGCACTTGCAGGTGTCCAGGATTCTTGTTAGACAGTGGTTGTCAGCCTCCCCAATGCTGCGATCCTTTAATACAGTTCCTCGTGTTGCGGTGGCCCCTAAACCATAAAATTATTTTCGTTACTACTCCTTAACTGTTATGAGTAGTAATATAAATATCTGATATGCAGGAGATCTGACATGTGACTCCATGGGGTCGAGACCCACAGGTTGAAAACCATGGTGTTAGGGAGCCCTGGCTCATCTCAAGTTTGTCACCTTGACAGATCTTAAGCCTGACTTGCAGAATCGTTGGCTAAGGCATTGCAGGCAAGATCTCTTTTCTCCAAGGGGCTACAGATAGCGCAAGACACTGAATCCCAACTTTCTAGCTGGTGCCATGGCAGCCTGACCCAGTCAGGGAGTAGGCCCTGTGATTAGATGCTACACACCTATATGTCTGAGCTCATACTCCCATGGGTGGCCTTTCTTTAGCTTTCCCATCAGCTCTGAAAGGGATGGGATACTCCCAGTCTTTGGCATCCTCAAGTCCCCGGATCCCTCATCAACCCAGCACTGTGCTCTGGGATGTCACAGCATGACATTCGCTTTCTTTGAACTTCAGTATATTACCTTTATTTTTTTTTTTTAAAAAAAAGTTATGTGTGTGTGTGTGTGTGTGTGTGTGTGTGCGCGCACACTCAAGCCACATGTGCGTAGGCAGAAGTCAGAAGACAATCATTAGGAGTTGACCCTCACCTTACATCATGTGATTCCCAGGGACCAAATTCAGGTTCTCAGGCCCAGCAGCCAGCGGAGTTATCTCTCTAGTTGATTTATCTCCATTGGGGCAGGGAGGGCTGCAGTCTGGCTACATCATGTGGGTCCCAGAGACCAAATTCAGGACTGCAGTCTGGGAAGAGAAGGGGTCTACTGTGGGAGCCCTAGGCACCTGGGCCTGGGAGGTGGGGACAAGAGAGGGCAGGTGAGCACAGCCTTTTCCGTTTCTCTTGCCTCACGTTTTTTATTGTTTTGAAGAACCACTCGAGGTATTTAAAAACCCACATCACATGTGCACACAGTGCAGAGGTTGGAGTGGGAAAGGATATAAGTGCCCAGAGACACCACATTCCCTTCTCCCAGCCACCTGGGTTCTCTCCTCACGGAAACCGCTGTGCTCAGAGTGTATGGGCCTTTCTCATGTATTTACTGTACTGCATACATGCTTCGGTTAGAATCACACAACTTTATGCAACTCCCACTGCATTCTTGAGTTGCGAGTGTTCAAGGCAGCATCTCTAACATCAGGCCTCACTTGTGAAAGTCACTTTACAAAGGCAATCCCCTGCAGCTCGTCTCTTTTGACTCCTGAGGGCCCTAGAATAGAGATGACAGTGTAGCATAGGTCAGGAAGCTGAGGTTCAGCCAGGCTAAGGTATCTGCTAAAGTCACACAGCAAATAAGACTGGACTTGCGTGCAGCTTGCCTGACTTCCCAGGCAGATGCAGCCTGATGTGTCCTCAAGAAAGCCTGTCTGTCATGCTGGCATAGAGCAGTTGCTTAATTTTAAAAGTCACTGGAGCCAGGCAGAGTGGCAGAGCCTGTATATCCTTAGGACTCAGGAGGCTGAGGCAAGACTGCATTCCAGACCTGTGTGGGTTACATAATGAAACCCCCATCTAAAAACTCAAAAGCACTTGGCCTAGGCACTGTAGGCACTGCCGATAGGCAGGGTGACTCTCCCATGGGGTGGGTGGATGCTCAGGCCACCCACTTTCTGGTTATGTACACACTCTTGTACACACCACATACACTTCTCTCTCTCTCTCTCTCTCTCTCTCTCTCTCTCTCTCTCTCTCTCACACACACACACACACACACACACACCACACACTTTAGAAGGTCATATACCACTTGTGGAATCAGGATCCTCAGGACTTCTCTTGCCTCCGCAAAAGGGTGGAAAGGGGTTGTAAGAAAGGTTACACTGGGTTTGCTTAGGATCTGTTTTATGTCGCCACAGTGTTGTAATTGGGAAGGCAGGACTGACATCCAGGGCTACAGGAGAATGTGAGTGATCAGGGCCTCATCTAAGCCACACTTCCCTGGGCTCAGGAACATCCCACAACTCCAGGTAACATCTGGAGCCTATGTCTAGAAGATGGGGTGGGAAGGGGGCAGAAGCCAGATCACCCCACTGTGCTGGAGCAGCCTGGGGAGAGACCCCCTACTAGTGTTTGTCTGACCTTGACTGATAAGATTCAGCCATGGTCCCCAAGTGACTGGCTCCAGGAGCTCCTCAGCTGCATACCTTTTACACCTTTGACAACGCTGACAGGCGGTGAAAGACAGGACCACAGGCTTCAAATCCCTGACCCAGGCTTCTTATCTCTGACCCCAAATGAGCCCATATCTTGTTCTTGAAGTAGTGATGAACTGGGAAAGCTTTCTAAGATGTCAAGTGATCCAGTGCCAATTTGTGGCCCCCACAGAGGGACAGCAGGAGAGTTTACAGGGAAGCTGGAGCACCAGGGTAGGAGGACCACTGAGCATGGAGACAGGAATCAGTGCGGAACAGAGAAACCAGAGTGTAAGGGAGAGCTAGGGAGCCCAGTACTGGCTGGCTGGGCAGCGCGAGGGTTTGTCCTCAGCCTTCTTGACTTTGCTGCTGGCATTTTTGCTGCTAATTAACATGGCATGGGGGTGGAGAGGGAGAAAATTCAAAACAATTGATTTGTCTGTTTGCTAGCACGTCTGGGAGAGGTTGGGTGTGGGATGTCAAAGCAAGCTAGTCAGTACTTCGTGTTCTAAAGAAAACATGGGGATCGGCAGGTTTCCCATTTTGTTGCTAGCTCATGGGTTCTGTCCTAAAAGTTCTTGGAAATCAAGGGCTCTCTGCGAATTCAAGAGAGCAGTGGGCAGGGAGGGAGACAAGATGTGCTCTTCTGACTTTGTCCGGAGAAGGGTGATAGGACCCTAGCCTGTGATCAGAGATCCAATTAATGAATAT